TCATTTCATTTCAGTTTATTTGATATTCCACAGAATATTGATGCATCTGATATTTTTGCAGGCTTCTTCTGCGTACACCCGGCAGTCATTGGAGATGAATGCCTCCATGATGGGGATGCTTCAGCGGAAGTAGTAAGTGGAGTTTATTTGAGTGGTAGTAAGTGAGGCTTATTTGAGTTGTAAGTTAAGTCTAATAAACTAGTAAGTAGAGTCTTTTTAACTAGTAAGTATGATTGAATAAAATAGTAAGCAAAGAGTAATAAAGTAGTAAGTGGAGTTTATTTGAGTGGTAGTAAATGATGCTTATTTGAGTGATAAGTTAAGTCTAATAAACTAGTAAGTACAGAGTCTTTTTAACTAGTAAGTAAGATTGAATAAACTAGTAAGCAAAGAGTAATAAAGTAGTAAGTGGAGTTTATTTGAGTGGTAGTAAATGATGCTTATTTGAGTGATAAGTTAAGTCTAATAAACTAGTAAGTACAGAGTCTTTTTAACTAGTAAGTAAGATTGAATAAACTAGTAAGCAAAGAGTAATAAAGTAGTAAGTGGAGTTTATTTGAGTGGTAGTAAGTGAGGCTTATTTGAGTGATAAGTTAAGTCTAATAAACTAGTAAGTACAGAGTCTTTTTAACTAGTAAGTAAGATTGAATAAACTAGTAAGCAAAGAGTAATAAAGTAGTAAGTGGAGTTTATTTGAGTGGTAGTAAGTGAGGCTTATTTGAGTGATAAGTTAAGTCTAATAAACTAGTAAGTACAGAGTCTTTTTAACTAGTAAGTAAGATTGAATAAACTAGTAAGCAAAGAGTAATAAAGTAGTAAGTGTAGTTTATTTGAGTGGTAGTAAGTGAGACTTATTTGAGTAGTATGTTAAGTCTAATAAACTAGTAAGTATGATTGAATAAAATAGTAAGTAAAGAGTAATAAAGTAGTAAGTGGAGTTTATTTGAGTGGTAGTAAGTGAGACTTATTTGAGTGATAAGTTAAGTCTAATAAACTAGTAAGTACAGAGTCTTTTTAACTAGTAAGTAAGATTGAATAAACTAGTAAGCAAAGAGTAATAAAGTAGTAAGTAGAGTTTATTTGAGTGGTAGTAAGTGAGACTTATTTGAATGGTAAGTTAAGTCTAATAAACTAGTAAGTAGAGTCTTTTTAACTAATAAGTATGGTTGAATAAAATGGTAAGTAAAGAATAATAAAATAGTAACTGGAGTCATTGAAGTATAATAAAGTCGTAAGTCATAACTAATTCAAATCCTGCCCATGTACAATCCAAATCCAAATTACAAAAAAATGACAAAAATCATACAACTAAAATCCATTTGCTCTACATCCTCCCAAAACAAATTCAGTTGAAATTCACATAATTCAAGTATGAACATGCAACAACATCAATGATACATGACAATTATCTATCGCAAGCCAATTCTATCACTCTTGACCCAATTTTATTGTTTGCATCTCGAACTAAGCCCAGTGCTAATCTTTGTCTAGCATCCCACGAGTCAAATTGAAGCAAACAAGCTTCGGAATCAATAAATTGCAACAATTCAAAATACTTGATGACATGCATTCCACAATCATAGCCATTACTTTGTTGTGGAAGCCATTCAAGTGTTCTAATTGGAAACTCGGTAATTTTATTTGTATATGCATTCTTGTACTGAATTCCCAATAAGTCATGTAATACTTCAACCCATCATTTACATAACTAATTAATACGAAAACATGCAATGCAAAATGCAAATAACAATATTGTATAAGGACGTATATCACTTTTTTCCCTTGAGTTGGCTAAGTTCTACTTCTTCTTGATATATATGGATCAAGAACATATAGCACTTCTTGTTGCATGTATACCACACACACATACCAATGTTTACCCGCATCATTAATTGGAATGTACACCTATATTAAATCAGTAATCATTGGTATCTTATTCATTAACATATTAAACGAAAATAAAGTGAAATAATAACAACTCAATACCCTTTTACATGATTTAATTTTTTCCATATACCGTTTTCCTATCCAAAATAGGACTTGAGCACGTTTAGCTTATAAACCTTGTGGTGCAAAATATGTTACCACAACTCATAAAAATTAGAATAAATATCAATAACACAAGCTTACTATAGATAAACATGACATGTTACATAGTCAAGTGCTTTCAATTATAAAATGCATAAATAAATTACCAAAAAATATGTAGATAGATACCACGTTGGATATTTTGCATCTGGGATACAATTCTTTTGCTTTAATGTAAATTGCAAAGCAACTAAAGTGATTATCTAAGAAACAACAACTCATCAATAAATACAATTATCTTAAACATTATAAATTCATTTGTACAACGGTTTACTACTTATCCATCAAGCCAACAACCACAATCTAATGTCCATATGTTCTTGTGCGTTCCATGTTGAATATCAAAGTGAATAAGAATTTCACTGTCATATTAATTAAGTGATACATGTCAATGTGACAATACAAATACATAAAACATAAAACAAAATATTTCGTAAAAGAAATAAAACATTTCCAATTTACTACGATGAAACAAATAGTCTTTTATCAATTTATCCTCAACTGAAAGCGGTGGCAAATGAAATTGTTTCATGGGAGTCGGCATACTCAATAACTTAAGAATCTATTTTTATCCAATAATTAAAAACATTTTCATAAAGTATGTAATTGATTATTCTCCTAAAAATGAGTTTCTATAGGAAAACATAAGTATACATTTTTCAAATGTTGTTCAGTAAACACAACTTGTTTATTAATAATAATAATGTATCTTACCTTGCCAAGTTCAACATCATAGGGTGAAAGTATATGTTTGCTTTTTTTTCGTTTGCTTTCCCTCCTAAGCTTCATATGATAAGGCAAAACTGTTGAAGACTCGGCATCATCATCTACCGGAATTGACCTCTTTAAAATCACTTTTGGTAACTTTGGTGGTAGTAGCTCATGTTCACTAAAAAAGGGGGCAAATGGAGATACGGACGATGTGAATTGATCACATAATGGAGTCTTAGGCAATCCCTCGTTTTGTTGTTTGAGTTGTTTATCCATAGGAAAGTTACGATCTTGGAAAGCATAAGGTGGGGGACTCCATTTGTCATCCAAGATATCTTCATTTTTCAATTGACAATCGATATCATGATAGTGTTTCTCCTTCTCAATAGCCCATAACCCATTAGCTACCTTTGCAATTGCTATCAAAATCTCTTCTTTGGCAGATTCTATTGATTGACTAACACCAACGACTAAGTTATTCAAGTCTCCTCTCAAATCTTTCACTTCTTTTTCAACATTACTTAACCGTGCATTCATGTTTGGCTCTACACTCACATCATTATCTTCAACAATAAAACCAACCTATTAAGAAAATAATAAGAAACATGTTAAACGAATTCTTTAATTACAACACGCATATAAATTAAATTATATAACACATAAGATTACCTTCTTGTTGTTTTGGTATTGAAGTTTTTCCAACATGGAGATTCTCTTTTTAATCACCTCATCTATCCAATATACTAAACGAGGTGCTTGTCTGCTTGCACATGGACTAACAAAATCCACAGCAGGTGTCACATGCTCAACGTAGAATAACTACATGATATGGTTATGTAATGATTAGTAAGTTCAAGAATGCACTAAATAGACAATCATTTGTTTACCATGATTTAGAAACATACCATGAGAAAAAACAAGCAACCTCGAATTCCTCGTTGTCCCTTTCCTTCTCCTTTGTCCTTGTACTTTCGCACACCATCGACTAAAAAGTCTAAGACGAGTTTTGACCAATTTAACTTATGTAAAGCAGACATATCTTTCAAGGAATGAAGAAAACAACGATTTATTGACAACTCCGATGTAGGGCACAAAAGAGAACCTAGAATGTACAATACAAATCTTCTCTTAAAATCATCCCCGTCTACTTTCATATTAGACAACTCATTCCTTAAAGAACTCAATGAAATATAACCACACTTCTTAACACCATACTTGTTCGACAACTCTTCAATATCAGTGTGGTCCCCATTTACGTTTATAATTGATCCCTCACAAGGAAGTCCTAATATGTGGCTTACATCAAATGGTGTTATAATTATTCTTTTACCATGAACGAATAAACACTGAGATGTATGATCAAAACAACCAACCAACCATTCACACAGTTGTCGTGGCAACCTCGTGCATTTAAGCTCTAATAAACCTCCAAAGCCAATTGATTTGATAGCTTCTTTTTGTAATGGTTGAAGCAATTGTATTAACTCATAAACTGAGTTCAATGCTGTCCGAGTTGTCATGGTTAGCTAAACAAAATAACAAAAAATACATTAGACCAAATTTAAATTCCAAAACATACTATGAAAATTTAATCCTATATTAAAACACTACAATTAAAACATATTATTAATATCATTAATTTTTTATAGTGTTCTTTTATTGTATTCTATAAATATTGTGTATATATAGATATATATTCTTTTAAGATTACTCACCCAAGTCCCAGTTATTCACTAATAGGACAATTAATCAAGCCTACATATCCCCCCATTCTATAAACAAAAACAATAACAGAAATGGGACCATCATGGACTATCTTGCTTTAAAAAAAAAAAAAAAAAAAAGAAACAAAACAAAAAAGTCACAAATGGGATCACATGAACTATATTGCTTTTAAAAATAAATGTAATAAAGCATATGGTCACATATACACAATCTCCAAAGTAAATCGGTAATAGATATGTGACCATCATGGACTATCTTACTTCAAAAAAATAATAGAAATAAGACTTAAAAAAAAAAACCCACAAATGGGGCCACCATAGACTATCTTACTTTTAAAAATATAAACAACAATGCATGAGATAATACAAAAAACTCAACTATTTATTGTCTACCAAAAAGTGTCAAAGTCTCATTACCCCACCAATGGGACAATTTGTCAACCATTCATGTCCCTCCATTCCAAAAACAAACAAAGTGTATAAATGATAAAGAAAAAAAAAAAAAAAAAAAAAAGAAAGAAGATAAAAATTACAAATGGGACCACCGTTACTTTAAAAAAATAAGTAACAAAGCATATGAGACAACACAAAATTCATACCCACAAACAAACAAACTCCAAAACATATGAGACAACCATATACCTAGTATTCTAGAAAGATTTGGAGATTGAGAGAAAAAAATGCTACCTCCAACCACATACTAAAAATCTAAAAAAATACCATACAAAAATAATTTAAAAACAAAAACAATCAATATATATAAAAACAAAAACAATGTCTCTCTCAGCTAAAGTAGAAAGCTATAAAGTAGTATGAGAAGCATAAAATTGACGTCAAATTAACCAGATTTCTTCATCAGCATGGAGAATTAATTATATGAAAATAAAAATTTTACTTGTAAAAACAAAGGACATCACCAGCCCATATGAAGCCTTTGCTGAGTTACTTTCATGGGTAAGACAATGAACAAGGCTGTAGCAAACTAGGCTAGCAGTAGCACTTTTAACAAACTACATGAAAAAGATAGTGAACAATACCAGATCCATGAGAACAAACTGGGAACCATCTTTATAATTTAAAAATCTTTTAATTTTCACAAATTGCTTTTTTATTTATAGTTGCTTTAGTCTAAATGGAACTAAAAATAAAAAGAGAATTTTAGCAATTTTCTTTGTGTTTACTGGATTATTTATTTATTTATTTATTGTGCATTTCAAATTTGGAAGGCTTTTTGACTAAAACTTCCTAAGAGACAATAAAAAATAAAAAAAATTGCACGAATATAAAAAAAAAAATCCACTGAAAATTTCATGTTAAAAAAGGTATTATTGTATAACATTACTAAACCAATTCATTCCTATTTAGTTGGGATCAATAGGATGAATTCCTTCTTATCAAACATTGTTGTAATTTATATTACAAAAGTAACTTTGTATTATTGTCTCAAAAAAGAAGCAAAAAACAATCAATACCTCCACCATTTTCCAACACATTCTTTTCCGGAAATGTCAACCCCTCTCCCCCCAAAAAAATCCTCTTCATCAAAGTCCACACAATTTCAATTTTTTTGCTTCCATTACCAAAGAAAACAGAAACAAAAAAATGTCTCTCTCTCTCTCTTTCAAACCTCACAATCTCTTTTCCTGTGTCATCCCAAAAAACCAATACCAATTCCAACCTCTTATGTCCCATAACCCCCAAATTGTTGAACTCAATGGGTAGTTTTAATAACACAGATTGAACCAAAAAAATAAATCAGAAAAAACAAAAAAAGAAACACTTTTATGATTGTGAACAAAAAATAAAAAAAAAAAAAAGATAAAGAAACACTTTATGATTTTGAACCCCAAAAAAAACATAAAAAAACAAAAACTTTTCACATTATTAAAGTTGATCTTTCAATAGTTTTAACACTTTTCACAAGGAGTCAAACTTCTAGAAATATAGATCCACACTCACAAAATGCTCTCTCTCGTATGCAGAATTTTTTTTCTTTTTTTTCATATGCATATTCACTGCTCACTGTATTAGACTAGACAAACCAATCTATAAATATGCACATTCACTCCAACAGCCATGAACAAGTCTAAAGGTTCAAAAAAAAAAAAGTATAGAAGGCAAACCCTTTTCTTCTTGTTCCTATCACAGGAAGCCATTGAACAGAGCTTCGGAGGTTGCGCCGTTGGTAGTGGAACAATGGGATTGAGGCGACAATAGACCGGCGGGGTGTGAGAGAGAAAAGTTTGAAGAAAGCCTCACACAGTATAGAGAGAAAAGAGAGTATAGAGATAGTCAACAGAACAAAACTCATTCAAAAGAAAAAAAAAAAAAAAACAGAACAGAACACCATGGGTGGGTCTCCTGTAGAGAGGAAAAGAGACACAAAACATAATAGAGACAAAGAGAGAAAGAGTCTGTGTGTTAGCTGTGTGTGACTGGTTTAACCGGTTTCTTTTTTGTTTTTTTTCAATGGTCCAGATTAAAGATTTCCATCTAAAGGCTAAAATTCATTTTTATGTATGGTACCCAAATACCACTTTTGGGTACCATAGTCGGACCCTCAAAAGAAAAGAAAAGAAAGAGAGGTACGACAGTAAAGAGAAAGCCACGGCGAGAGAAAGAGAGAGATTCATCCAAAACCATAGGCAGCGCATGCAGAGAAGAGAGAGACGGTTTGGAGAGAAAGTGGCGAGGAAGAAGAGAACAAAAAAAAAAAAAAAGGAAAAAGGAAGAAAAAAATATTAGGGTTTTGTTTTGGTAGTTCCATTAGTTCTTCAAATAATTCTTTAATTTTCAAAAAAATATTGTGAGTACAAAACCTACTTTCCTTGATTTATATTTAATTCGTTATTTTTGTTTATTTATTTGATGTTAAATTGATTTCATATTTGCATGTAGATGATTGATCGATTTTAATTATTTTGATTAGTTGTGTATGTAAGGTCTAGGATTTTTAGATGATTGACTGATTTTAATTATTTTGTTTAGTTGTGTATATAAGGTTTAGAATTTTTAGATTATTGATTAATTTTAATTATTTTGATTAGTTGTGTATGCCAGGTTTAGAGTTTTTGTATGAATTTATTTTATGATTATAATCACGCTCATGGTTATATGAAATTAAAATTAATTAGGAACCCGTAGATAAATTTCTTAAACTCCACCATGACTTCATGGACTATTGTTTTATTTGAGTGATGGTGAGAATGAGTGTATAAAAAAAGTGAGGATTATGAGATTTATTTGAATGCCTTAGACTTGACATTGTTATGTTGTTCTCATGAGTGAGATGTTTTGTATATGTATATTGTTGTCTTGTTCTCATGAGTAGACGAGTGCTTTGATTTACGCGCGTACGTATATGCTAACCATCCGGAGAGTGTGAATCAAACTCGGGATGATATCCCCGCGCAAGTTTGGCTTCGGAACGGTGTTAGATATATGAGAGACACATGGGATATATGTGTAGGCCGGAAGTGGAGGCTGAAGTGAAGTTAGGGTACAAATAATTTAATTATGAGTTTATTAGTGTAACACAGGCCGCGGGGGACCTCGCTACAGCTCGGACTCGACTTTCGTGGTCACGGTTCTAAGTCTGAACCAAAGAGTCCAAATCCGGCAAATCGTTTTAGGAAAACTGATTTTTGAAAGAAGTGCCAAACATGGACTGCTTTGCCAGATACAGAGTCGCCAGGTCGGTCAAAAATGGGGTGTCTACAATTAGCTTACTGTGAATTGTATTGATTTGTACATCTTGAAAAATAGTAAACGATCTCGATAAATTATGAAATTTGAGTAGAGGCATGGATACGTGATTCTAGACAACTTTTTTGTTTTAACTTTTTATTAAAAAGATCGATTAAAACTTATAATCGGATGATTTTGGTTATTGTAGTTTTGATTTATTTTAGCAATGTAAATTTTAGAGGCTGTTTTAACTCACAAAATGAACTCATTTTTATTGGTTTCGCGTAAACTAAAATAAAACATTATTATGCACACTTTTTGTGTTTTGAACTTTTCTGAAAAAAATCATCGTAGGACAGTTTCTGTTCGTTTTCAATTTCAGATTTTTCGGTTGAAATCTGTCTAAGTTCTTTTATCAAGTTTTTCTCTCAACTTGTTCAGTTTCTACTAAATTCGTTCACTTTGTGTTTTAGGAAATTTGATTATGTACAGCTTTTGTTCTTTGAGTTTTGGTCAATTCGAATTATTTAGGCATGAAACGATGTATTTTTATACTTATTTAGCAAGTTGCTTATGATTAAATTATACTAACTTTATTTTTTGCAGGATGGTGGGTCTTACTAATTTTTTTTTGCAGGGCTGACTCACCATGTTTTTATTTCTATTTTATTTATTTCATACTCAATTTATATTTCATCTAAGTGCGGATGAAACTACTTATCTTGTCCCGTAACAATAATTAAATATATTTTTGTTTGTGTTTGGTAGACACGTGGGTGTTAAATCTTGTACTCATACCAATATACTTGTATACTGACCCGTTTTGTCTCTTGGCAACTCAGATGCGTTCTGTTTGAATGCAGCCAAGCTTCCTTTGCAGAATTAGTTGGGACTACGATGGTGACGTGGATTAACTATAGGTGTTAGACATATCTCTTGGTTTTTTTTTTTTGTTTTCTTGAGTTTAGGGCTGATATTAGTTTTTTTTTTATGACTTTAGTATTGAGATAATTTGGCATTGTTTGTAACCGTACATTATTTAAGTTATTTTGACTACATATTGTTACTTTAATGTTCGAGTTATTGGTTAGTTATGAAATTATGGTGGATGGTTTGGTTAGCGTTTAGTTTTTCTTTTTCTTTTTTTACCTCTAGGATTTAGACGATGAAATATTGATTGAGGTTTAGTCATAATTTAATATTTAATTGTCTAAATTTTGGGCATGACACAATATGTATTTAATTCAAAAATACATATATATTGCCCTTGTTTGTGAAGTAGCTACTTTTTTGGCTCTTGGGTTATTTGGCTATTTTAGTTTTTATGTCTGGGAAGTTGGGCTAAATTTTTTGGTTATTATTGTATTGAAAAATGTGTGTTGAAATAATATTTGAGACTAAAATGACAAATTTTTTGCTAACCTCACTTTTTTCAAAATGGGCAAATTGTCATTTATTATTTGCGAGATAGCCTGCCACATAACAGTGGTAGGTGCACTATCAACGTGACAGTATAGGCTCCCTCACTGCTAAGTTTGTTTTTTTTTTTTTAATATAAATCACTGGTTTAGGGTACTATTCGAAGCTATTTGACTTTGTTAGTGTTTGAGGCTATTTTAGCCTCAACCTTGGGTTCCCAAACAAGACCATTATTAGAACAATAACAAAGATAAATTAACAGATAGTATGTGTTGTTCAAGTGGTAAGCGTCTTGTTTTTCAAATTTATGATCATAGTTTCAAATGTTTTTTTATGATCGGGTGTTTGGACTAGTTTACATACACTTCGACTAATATTAGGACCTACACAAAACGCCTTCTCCACATGCATCATGTAAATCTCGAGACGTCAATATTATCAGAAGACTTCACATATATAATAGTATAAATAATACATATATAAAGGCAATTAAGTAATTTCGACCAAAAAAAAAAAAAATGATTAAGACATTGATGATGATTTGGATTGCATGAATTGGGATGTGAAGATGAAGATGATGCTATGATGCATGAATTGGTATGAGAAGATAATGTCAATGATAATGATGGGCAATTGAGAAATTTTTGCAAGGCCGAAAGTTTCGTTAAAATAGTATTCACTCTTTGTATATAAGAATGGATATTACCTAAATATTTTATTAAATTACACTTTTGACTCATAATTTTATTCAATTTTCATTTTGATCTTCAATGTTGTAAATTTAATAATTTGATTAGTGTATTTTACATATAGTTTTAATTTAGTCATTTTATTCAAATTGAAGGTTAAATTTAACGATTGTAGAACATTTGTCAATCTTTTAAGACATACACATAGAAAAAAAATTAATAAAAATATAGATAAAATAATCAAATTAAAACTGAATTTAAAATATAAGAAATAAGTTGTTCAAACTGATATACACTTATTAATTTTTATAAAAAAATAATATCCTTCTCTAGTGATATCATTTACCCGGGGCCACTGGGGTTAAAGTGCAAATGAGGTGGGTAGATGAAGACATTACTGTTTTTAAAAAATAGGTCATGTTCTTTATATATGATATGATTTTATTTAAATTTCTAACAAATAAGAAGGGTTAAGTGTAACATGATAAGTTAGTTAATTGTTGAGTTTTAAAATTTAAAGGGGCAAAATATAATTAGTTCATAATTTAAGGAGTTTACTGTAATTCACACAATATAAATACAAGCCCCATCGAGTGTCACTGGTTCTTCCTCAGATTCTCACTCTCGCCATTAATGGAGGCAAAGCTCTCAGAAGCCCCCATGCGGGCCATTTTGACTCCGGGTTCCATATACTCCTCAAGACCCGACCCGCATTTTGCATTACAGAGTAACCCCAAATCCTTTCGATCCAATCTCGCAACAAAAGCAAAGTATCGCCCTCTTCAAGTTTCTTCTTCTCCCATCAGGTATATATATATATAATCAAAATACACACTTTGTTGTTAAGTTATACACATAACCACACGCATATGTGAATTTGCTCGTATACAAATCAACACATACATTTGGGAGATACACGCATATGTGAATTTGCTCGTATACAAATCAACACATACATTTGGGAGATAGATATACTATCACACAGATATGTACCCTTTTTTTTAATTTTTTTTTTGTAAATTTGTTTAATATGGGTCTTTTTAGTTTTGAAAAGCTATTTGTAGTCTTTTAAATTTTAATTGTGACAAATTTTTTTTTTTCAATATTGGTCATGTGCTTGATTGAATCATGAAGAATTGGTAACAAGGTTGATATGTTGGAGAGAGTAATTTTATTATTTATATTTGAAATATTTTTGCTCATGAGTCCCCGGCTTGGATCAAACATGTCTAAATATCAAAGTTTTTAAAGGCGAATGCGTACTTTAAGGCGTTTTACCTCTCATGAGGCGAGGCGTAAGCCTCAAGGCGTTGAGGCGTAAGCATTTCAAATTTCAAATTTTAATATTTACTGAATAAATTAAATATTTTTAAATAGTTAAAAAAATAAAAACAAAATTAAATATAAATATGTAAATACTTTTCGCTTTAATGCGTTGAACATTTTACTGCATAGAAGGAAGTTTTCCTTCACTGAAAGAGAAATCGATATTCTTAACTTCAATGATTGAGCTTCTCACTTGACCACTAACTGTGTTTTTCTTGATTGATCATTTACTTAATTTTTCCTGTAGAATATAGTTGTAAAAATGGATTCTTTTTAATTTTTTATGTTTAAACAATCTAATAGACTAAGTTGAACAAATGCCCAAGGCAACTTCTGCATGTGCATACTCCTCACATGCTTATGCGCAAAAAGCGTAAAAAGCGCACTTAAGGCGCATGTCTCAAACTATGATGCCCAAGCCTTTGGGGAGTAATGCCTAAAAATCAAAGCCTTGATGCGTTTTACCTTAGCCTCAAGGCGAGGCGAGCATCGAGGCGAGCCTCAAGAAAGCCTTTTAAAACTCTGCTAAATATTATAATTACTTGGTAGACTGTTAGATTATAATGCAATTTTATTTTATTTTATTTTTTTATTCAATTGTTAATCATCGATTCATCTAAAAATTAAGGTTATAGAGAGAAGTTACTTTATTATTTATATTCTAAACCAGTTTATAATTTTGGAAAAATGGAAAATGAGGAGTAATTACAATTCAATAAAATGCAAGTGAGAAATGGGATTAGTGTAAGTAAAAATTGTGCACTTGTAAAAACTGTGCTCGGGATTTGTGGCATTTTAGTTGTTTTGGCATGCACAACACATGGCCACACTAGGAAGAGATGATTATGGATACATGTGTACAAAAATAACTTCTGATAATAAAAAAAAAAGGAAAAAAAAAAGGGTACAAAAATAACTTGAGGGCACACATACCCTGGCATGACAATTTTTTCTATTATTATTTGTTCTGTTCACCTTACTTGCAGAATTTGGGTTATAGACTAGTTTGGTTGAACAGACTGATAGTCTGTGGATGTGTTATGTGAATTGACTATTTGCTACTTGACTTAGGAACATATATGCTAGCTTGGTGCTGCTTAAAAAACACGCCTGTCAGCTTGCACTGTTGTGACAGAAATTTGAATATATATGCACACAGACATGATATGCATCCTAGATGCCTTATTGCTGCTTTATCTATGTATATTTCATGTGCTTGCTATAAACTGAACATTTTCAGCTAAGCGTTTGATTACAAGGTTTGCACCCCTTTTTTTGTCGACAAGTCTTGTTACTGAGGTTCTTTACGACGAAAGGCTTGCTCAAACACATACAAATTAAATAAATAATTTGTATTTGTTGGAAGACTATCTTCTGAAACTTATATTTATTTATTTTCCTATTTCTTGTGAAGGCATACGAGGAAGAAGAGGGTGGATGAAAGTGAGAGCCTGACTCTAAAGAGTATAAGACACTCACTAATCCGACAAGAGGATAGCATAATTTTTGGCCTTTTGGAGAGGGCTCAATATTGTTACAATGAAGATACATATGATCGCAATGCATTCTCTATGGATGGGTTCCGTGGTTCTTTGGTGGAGTTCATGCTTAAAGAAACTGAAAAGCTTCATGCCCAGGTTGTTCAGTTTATACTAGAGAGAAAAGGTGTGACGTTGAAAGAACTACCAGAACTATGCTGTCACTAGTTTTTAATTGAATTTCAATTGCTAATCAGGTGGGCAGATATAAGAGCCCAGACGAGCATCCTTTCTTCCCAACTGACTTACCTGAGCCAATGCTTCCACCTTTGCTATATCCACAGGTAGCTGCTATACATAAACACATTTTTTCTGTCATTGTTTTAGGGGTTAATTACACCAAGATCCCCTTAACTATTAGTGAATATCACCTTACCTCCTCATCTATGAACCCATCTCTTCAATTATAAATATGTATCGCTTTCACCTCCTCTAGACCACCTCCAAAAGGGGCATTTGTATGGTTTTTATAGTTCAAGATGAGGGGGCTAAAATGATATTTGCTAATAGTTGAGGGGGTCTTGGTGTGATTAACCCTTGTTTTAGTAATTGATGAGAACAGATCTCCATGTACCTAATCGTAAGCTGATAATGTTATATGATAATTTTTTTGAGTTTGATAGCAGGAACAGTTTCTAGATCTATTGATGATGATTTCTTTGATGAGCATGGTGGTTATTCATGCATTTCAGTGGCAATATATGTATAAATTTATATATTTTTAAAATTAAATAAAATTGGCATCCTCTCCATCATCAATCGAAAGTCAAAACCTTTTGCTGAGATAGTGTGAACATAAGTTTTAACTCTAGGAAAAATCAAATGGACTCAAATGTTATGAATGAGAAAATGCTCCGTTGTGAATTCTAAGTAGAATGAAATAGAACCCTTAAAAAATTTGGATAGCTTGACACATTTATATAATACAAAAGTTAAGTAGTTACATCACTATTATCTTGAAAATGTTGATTTGGAACTTGAGCTCAGTAATGTTGTGGAGTTGTGTCATCACCTGGTCAATCTAACTTTTATATACTAAATGCTATGAAAATAGAACATGTGATATAGTAATTTGGTTTTGAAGCTCAGACCAGTTTGATCACCATTGAAAATCTCATGCTTGTTGCTTTCTTTGAATATTGAAACATTACGGTATTGCACAAATTTGATAATGTGACTTGCCTATCAAACAGAAATGTGTATTTTGATTGAATATGATGAGTTACTTTCCTCTCTCGGATGTCTTACTATAACATTTGCAGCAGTGTTGAATATGATTTATCACTTGATTAATTGATAGCTCTTTTTTTTTTCCTTGGATAAATACTCATTAACTTACAGCATTTTGTTGTTGGTTTGGTTCTGACATTTTAATAGGTTTTGCATCGTTGTGCTTCTTCCATCAACATTAACAGCATGATTTGGAACATGTACTTTCGAGACCTTCTTCCGAGATTGGTAAAACCAGGAGATGATGGTAATAGTGGATCAACTGCTGTTTGTGACACAATTTGCTTGCAGGTATGCAAATGAACTTATTCACAGCAGGACTGTGATGTAATAAATTGGTTTTAGTTGAATTGGATTATGCAAGTAATTAAATTTTATTGTGTGGTTTTATTCATCTCATGTAATTGTTTTCAATTTCCCCCTCTTGATTGGATTGGAAAATTATGTTATGAATCAAATGGTTGTGTTTTGTAAATTGTCTTGCTTTTCTTTCTTTCCTCTACTTTGTTCTTTAATTTCTTATCCATTTTCTCATATGGATATTAAACCAAATAATTTCCTAGTATGAAGCACGGACACGGACACAGACACGGGACATGGCAATTTCCAAAAAATGGGGACACGAACATGGCGGGAGACATGGGACACGAACACGGCGGGAGACACGGCGAATTTTTTTTTTATATATATATTTTTCTATAAGTAAAAAAATTTTATTTAAGCAAATAATAATACCTAAAAAATAGAAAAAAAATAAAAGGGGACAAAAAAAGGTTTTTATTCAAATATATATATTAGTATGTAATATATATATATGTATATATATCTATATATATTATTAGAAAAACAATTAATAGAATAGAACAGAGATATTTTTTCTGGGTAAGTATAGAACAGAGATATTGAGAGGGTCAAACGGTAGGAGAGAGAGAGTTGGAACACCATAGCGAGAGAGAGAGAACAGAGGAAGACGAACACCAATCGAAGAGAGAAGACTGAGAGAGAGAGAGAGAGAGAGAGAGAGACTGAGACTGAGAGCGACGAAGACGAAGACGAAGAAGACGATCGGAGACCAACCACCGACCATCGACGACTCACCAGCGAAGAGCTTCCAGGCATGCTCGACGAGCCTCTCTCTCTCTCTTTCTGTCTCTCTTCTGTTCTGAGTTAGATTCTAGGTTAGAAATGGATCTGGTTTTGTTTTTTACAAATTGACCCCACACAAGTTTCATAAGTTAAAAATGAGCTCCACCATGTCTCATGTCATGTCCCCGATATGGACACGTGTGTCCCTGCCGTGTCCCCGCCGTGTCCCCTACAAAAAAATCATTAAATTAAAGGGACACACCAGTACGTGTCCCTGGCATGTCCGCGTGTCGGACACCTCCACAACACCGATTTTGGAGTGTCCATGCTTCATACCAACCATTCAAGAAGTACCTTTTGACCATCACTTTATACGAATAAAGTTCCAGGTATTGTGTTTTATCAAACACCAAGGGAGCACTTTCAATGTGCTTGAATAGACCATTCAAGCAAACTAAATTGGTTTCATAGAGAAGATCATCAGGTAGGCTTATGTGCACAAGCTTTCTACTTGTGGACCAAAGGAGCTATTTCTGACTCTCCATGTTGAAAATTTATATGAGGTTTGAGCTTTTAGGAGGGACCTTAGTTTCTATTGGCTCTTGTATAGTCTATAGGTTGCTGCTTCCTTTTGAACTCTTAATGATACATCTTTGAAAAAAACAAAAAACCAAAGAAAACTTATCTTAGATACATTGTGTGGACTTTAGTTTATTTGTAAACCAAGCTGTCTGCATATTGCCCAATGCAATCTTTGCACAAAGTAATAAAATTCCCCATTCATTGATTAGCACAATCTTTCATAAGCTGTTTTGGTCTTGGACACAACATGCTAGACATTCCCTTGAATAGTGTGGATAGAGATGTGTGAGGTGGTTGGGGGGTGTCCTCTGGGAAGATAGTAGGCACTGAGATAGTTGGGGACCACTGTGGTGGGAGAGTGGAGAGCCAAAGGTTTTGTTCTGGCACTTGCCAAGCTCCCCCTCAGCGCCGAGGTGCGCTCAAACCAGTCTTAGAGAGAGAAAGGTGCTTTGACCAAGATGTGATATCTCAATGGTTGAATCACACCTAACTCTAGCAACTCTTAACACAACAAAAGGGACGTATCATACCTACCAACTGTCGACACAATATGCCTCCACGAGGCCATGCTAAGGATGCAGAGTTGGCCAGAGTTCCTTCCATTCTGCCTCCAAGGGGGTTGATTCTCCTGGGCTCACTGAGCTGGCTCCCCTGGCTCGTTGCCCTATATAAGGAGGCGTCATGCACACTAATCATCACCTAGTTCTTCCGGCATACAGAGATCACCACTCTTTCTATTTCTCCCCCTCTCTGGTTGAGTGTAGTATGTGTGGTACATGTGCTTCTTTTGGTAAGACAATGTCGTACTTCAGGTTTTTGTATTATATATGTGCTTCCTTGTGTAATTAGGACTATGTCATACTTAGGTTTTTGTATGATGTGTATTACATAAAGGAAGCATTCATGTGCTGTAGTTGTAAAGCTAGGATGTTGTTTTTGAGATTACAAAATTTTTTTTTGGTGTAATTGTTATTCACTCCATAGGACATCAATTTTATTTTATTTTATTTCTTCCCCAAAAACCCTGTACCTTTTTACGCATTGTTCATTATGGTTGCAGGCACTCTCAAAGAGAATCCATTATGGTAAATTTGTAGCAGAGGCAAAATTCCGAGAATCCCCTGCCAGCTATGAGGCTGCCATTAGAGCTCAAGTATATTTTTGCCTTGAACTCTGTACTAATTCATCTCATACACTCCTCATTTCATTTCACATATTATTATGGGGGACTTACGTGGAGGTCCTAATAAGTGGACTTATTGTTCAATAAGTCCTATGATAAATAATGACATTTTTCATTAAACACAATTAAAAAACGTCACTAATTATTAATTTTCAGCGACAATATGAAATTTTTTTCACAAAAAATGTAACTAATTATAAGTTCTAGTGACAACTTAAACAAATTGTCACAAAAAAGTGTCACTAATTCACAATTTTTAGCGACAATTTAAAAAATTCGTCACAGAAAAACGTCACTAATTGTAAGTTTTAGCTGCAATTTATAAAAATCATGACTAAAAAAAGTCACTAATTGTTAATTTGTAGCGACATGTAAAAAATTGTTACAAAAAAATTATTTTTATTGACAATTTTATCAAGATTTATTTTCAATAGAACTTGATGGAAATTAAGTCCAATTAGTAGGACCTATTGGTAATTTACCCTATTATTATTTATTTATTGCGGGTGTTGGATTTGCAGGACAGGAATCGACTAATGGAAATGTTGACATATGAAATGGTGGAAGAAGCCGTGAAGACAAGAGTAGAGATGAAAGCGAAAACGTACGGTGTAGAGGTAAGGATCAATCAAAATGAGGATGATGCTGATCCAGTGTACAAAATCAAGCCGAGTTTAGTCGCCAACCTTTATGGAGTTTGGATCATGCCGCTGACAAAGGAAGTTCAGGTCGAATACTTGCTGCGACGGTTGGATTAAAACTTCAAATGATATATAATCTTAGTTTTAACGCAATTTGGATATTGCTAATGTCAGTGATTTTCAATTTCAATTACTTTGAACATGGATAGAGTTTTTTTTGTTTTTTGTTTTTTAGGAGATCAGTGGCCTCTTATTTGCGAAGTATACTTTACTTTGAAATTTGTAATAACATGCATGCAGCACATTTATTCTGCATTTGGCCTAGTTGTAACAAGTGAAGTAAATTTAAATTAAATTAAATTGATGAAGTGATGAGAGTAATTTTCATAGCAGTCAAACAGGCCCTTAAGGTTTTGGATCCTCTGTTTGGCTTATGGCTACAATTTGCAACACTTATTTATTTATTTATTTTTATTTTTTATGTTCAACTGGGAAATGTACAATTTATAGTATTTTTTCTTACAAAGTGACGTAATATGTCTTACAATATGTCCATTTTTAAGGATGCATACCATAAATTTCTCATTTTTTTCCTATATGCATATTTGAGAATTGATACACAACCCACTTGGGGGTGAATCCCATCACCCCTCACATACACATGGGGTCAAAGAGAGGATAAAAAGAAGAGAAAAAAAAAATTAGACCAATCAGCATTCACTGAAGGTGGTGTGAGGGTCACTCCTAGTGAGGCGTCTTAATATTTATAGGATTATTTTTCTTCAGCAATGTTTCATAGTGATCAATTATGATAATGTGATTAATAAAGAACTGTTAATTTGTATCCTAGCAAATCAAGATTTATAGAGATTTTTGATTAAATATTAAAATGGAATCTTAATTTAAAAAAATATATATATATATATATAAATTCTAGGTTATAATCTAAATGAAGTAATGATTGAATCACCTTTGAGTGGTATGTAAGTGAAAATGGTTATATCAGATGTTGAAATGGTTTGATTGCTACAATATAAACTTTTGAGCTGGAAAATATCATGATATTTGACCCCACCATGTGCAATATGATCATCGCATTATTGGAAAAGTGTACCTATCAAAAGCAAAGAATATATGCCCTCTAAAGTCACGTTGCCCTTTACCCTTTGCCACCCTCTATCTCCCTTTTATTTACTTCTTATTTTTGTATTTTTTTTTCCCTCTGTCATGTGAGAAGATAGAAATGCATTTTATTGACAAATGTGAGTTTCTATTCAAATATCATAAAATTTAGAAAACTTAATATCTAAAATAGTAGATACAAGTGTCAAATACATATCTCACACTATTTTTTTATCATACCCATTCTACACTTGTATTTCAAAAAAAATAAAAAAATTTCACGTAATATAAAAGTTAAAACTGATCAAATGATGAGTTAAATAGTCAAATAAAAAATTTCAAAGAAAGAAGTTAATTATTTAATGCCAAATGCATTTCACCATTTCTTTTCATGTGTGAATAGATTGACATGCCGTTTTGCAATGTGAATTTTTGTAGAAGATTAAAAAAAAAAAAAAAAAAAAATAAAGAAAAATGCTTAAAATTTGTGAAAAAAAAAAATTATATTAAAAATATATAATATGAGATCATATTCATCTCTTGCACTATTATATGGTGAAATTTTACACTTAAAAATAAACATAAATCATTCATTTTGTTTAGAACAAAGTGAAATTCCTCCCATGATATATATATATATATATATAGAAATTAATCTTAATTTATGCAAATTCAACTCATGCCCATTTGCTTTTGATCAGAACAAAGAAAAAATAGGAAAAAGCAAGACGAAATTAGGCTAATTTAAAACATGAAACAAATTCTAAAATTTGTTTTTAAAATAACATTTTAAATTTAATCACTTATAAAATTATGTAATTTAATTGCTTGTGAAAGATACAACAAAATTTGAATTAACTCCTCTATAAATTTATGAATTTTATATGATTCAATATAGAAGTAATTTATAAATTAAGTCATTTTCACAATTTATAAAAAAAAAAAAATAAAATTCCCATAAGAATCAAGGATGTCATCACATGCCTTAAGCTTGAAATTTAACTAATAATATTAATAAAAAAAAACTCATAATTTTACACACATATTTTAAAAAATAAGTTAAAATTTGATTTTTTAATTATTTTTTTTAAATGTATATAGAAAAAAAAAATTGATATGACTTAAAAAAAAAAGTCAAAATTCAAAAAATTCTCACATCTCAAATTTTTGCCTAAGGCCTCGTTTGGGAATAGGTTAATTTAGTAACTTTTGGTTATTTGGCTAAAAAGGTAGGTAAAAAAAATTTGTATGTTTGGGATGACTTTTTGGCTAATTACGAAAAGATGTGCAAAAAGTAGAGAGAAAAGAGAATCTTTGACTTTTTGGTATGGATTGTTGGCTTTTTTGACTAATTTAGTAACTTTTTGGCTAATTGACTAAAATAGCCTCTTGCCAAACGAGGCCTAAATTACAAGAACACCCTCATCTAAAATATGCAATTCCCTCCATTGGGAAAAGTGAAAGCCCTTTTTTCAGTGGCTGCATTGCTCCATGTTTGTCCCTATTCCTCAACGCAGCAGTGCCCACAAAAGCACAAAAGTTTCTCTCCCCTCATGTATAGATATATATATATATAGAGAGAGAGAGAGAGAGAGAGAAAGGAAAGGAAGGAGGAAGAGGGGAGGGAAATGGAGAAAGCTCTGGTGAAAGTTGGAAGCTTGAAAGCAGGTGGCTACTGGATCTCCAAGAAAGCCAAGGAAGAGTTCTCCAACATCAGTGAAGACTTCACTGTATAAATTCCCCACCCTTCCCTCTTTCTTTCTCCTATCATTTTGGTTCCTATTGTTTGATCTATTACCTTGTTGATTGCTTTGGTTCTTTCTGATATAATGTGGCTTGTTTGAGCTTTACCCACTTGATAATTTTTTGTGTTACTCATGTATTGGGCATATTGGTCATCAGAAATTTCATTAGATTTGTCAGATCAGTTATATAAAAATAAAAATAAAAATAAAAAAGAAGAAGAAAAAGGAAAAAGGAAAAAGGGTTTAATGGGTTTTGAGAAATATTTACGGTTTTTGGAGGTATGCATTTATTAAGGGTTTTTGGAGGTATGCATTTATTAGCAACCAATTTGCAAGTGATATCAAGGGTTTGTTTGGAAGTGACTTTTGTAGTGGCTTTTTACTAAAATATGTGGTGGAAGTATAAAATGAGTTTGGGAAAATGGAGAGAATGGGAAGGAATCTTGGCTCTTTGTTTGTTTGTTTGTTGCTCTTTGGCATTTTTAGTGACTTTTTGGCTAAAATATCATCTTCTCAAATGCAGCCTAGCCTTTGCTACCAAGCTAGAGTAAATTGAACATAAAGAATGACATAAATTGAAATTTAAAGACCAGAATGAGCCAATTAAATAGAAAACAAAATGGCGAAAGTTATGATGTCCAATGCTCCAAGTTTCAGGTCATTTGTCAACTTCTTAGGCAAGATAAGTAAATATTATTCAAAAAAGAAAAAAGAAAGAAAGAAAAGGGTCTAATGGGTTTTTGAGAATATAAGGGTCTTGGAGGTATGCATTAATATTAGAAACCAATTTGAACATGAAGAATGTCATAAACTGAAAATTGAAGACCAAATTAAGCCAATTAAATAAAAAACCAAATGTTGCTGGTGAAGATATCCTATGCTCTCAAGTTTCAGGTCATTTTTAAAATTTTTATGCTTGATTTTGCATTGCTGAATTAACAAATTAAATCCAGCGGCAAGTTTTGTGTCCTGTACACATTAGGAAACTATTTACTCGAAAATTATCTTATGGATGAGAAAGAATCTGAAGTTACACCATCTAGAGATCAGAGATGCCTTTGCTCAGCTATCAATGATAGATCTCTTAGGCTTACCCCAAGAGGGCTTAATCTTGTAGTTGTTAGCTTATGGCAATGGATAAATAATCTTGAGCATATGCGAAAGGCAGGTAGTCTCATTTGGATAAAGGAATACTTTTGCTCACTTTCTAAATAATTATACACGGATTGGGCCGATCTTACATTGATTTCTTCTTCTCTTTTTCAGTTTTATTTTTTACTTGCAATTAGTGATCCAACATCCTTTTTACTGAAACTTTGCTTATACTTGCAGAGCTTCTCAAATACTGTTGAAGAGAAGGCAAAATGGATCTTCAACAAGCTAAAAGGTGTGGATACACAAAAATCAAATTTTGACCAAATGATAAAAACATATATGCTACAATTCGTGACCACATCCTAATCAAAATGCAAGCCTAGTTACCTTATCGCGCTGACAACAGTTTAAGCATATCCAGGGAGAGCTTGGATGTTATTTTGCTATCCTCAAGGCCCTTATGATTTTAGAAAATCATATTCTGAAATCACATAATGACTCTCCTGTCTTCCAACATTTGATGGAAGGAACCTAGGAGATCTTCGGAGCTATTGGTCATGTTAGTAATTGCCACTATTCTGAAAAAGAAATTAATAAATGAGATATTTTAGAGTCATCATCCATCAAATTAGGTTAGTTTATGACGCATTTTCTTGGACAGAACTAGTGGTCTTTATTACATATATAATATGCCAATCCACTTGAAAGGGCTTTCCTTGATTAACATTTTGAGTAGAGTTTTGGTTATTATTATTCCTTTTTCTTTATAGTTTCCATTGAAAAAATTAGCAGAAAAATCATTGAAATGAAAATGAGAATATTACAAAATTGGAATGTGAAACAGACGGAAATATTTCAACAAATAGAACATTATTTGAGAGAACCAAAACTTCTTGTGTGTCTTCTGTGGGTTATATATTGTTAATTGATTTAGAAAATGCTTAATGATCTCATACTTTAGCAAAAGTGTACTAAAGAAGCCTAAGGACATGTAAAAAGGAGAAAAATAGTGAATTGATAGCTTCAGTTGGTCATTCATCTTTTTCTGCAGCCCATAGAAGGGGAGGAGATGAAGGATACATTGTTTGAAGAATTAGAGGGTGAAGGATGAGTTAGATAAGTGAATTTGTGTGGTGAATTTCTGTTAGATTGAACATAAGAACTTTGAACTGCTACGAGGCTAACTTGCTTTTATGGCATCAAATTATAGTTTATAAGATAATTGAGAAAGGAAAATTCCATTTGACAATGAAATGTCTGATGTGCTATTGGCTAGACAAAATGAAGTAGAATGAAAACCAGGGATTACAGTTTTGAACAAGTAGAACTGAGAAGTACATTAAGAAGGCTATGGATCAATGGCTAAGATGGTTTGATAAATTACACAAAGAAATAAGGTCCACGTGAGGAGTACTTTGGTTGAAACCTTCTGGATTAAAAGGATAGACTGAGGTTGTGGAAGAATGTGATCCGTAATTTAGCATGATCTTTTGTTTCTTTTTTCTTTTTTTCCTTACAGGCCATCATTTGTGCTACTTAGGTATCATAGCTATTTGTAGCTTCAAAAGTTATTTTCTTTTGTTGTGTGTGTAAAGCCTTTCACTTCATCCTGACCTTTTCCAATCGAACCCTATCCATCATTGGCATCATAAAATCAACAATGCTAGAGACCCACATTTTGCACCCACAATGATGTGGCAAAGGTAGTGGGTCTCATATAATTGAGTGTATAATCAATCAAAAACTGACACTTGTCAGATCGTATCATTGTGGGTTGAATTGTGAGAGTTTTTAAGTGTCTTAAACATTTTCCTAAAATCAGTAGATGCTGTCCTATACATTAGCATCATCTTAAAATAGGAATAATGACAGTTTCAATCAACAAGAAACTGTGAGAGCTTGATATATTTGCTCCTAGTGTAAGCTTTTGGAACAATTGATTGTCTAATATGGTATCAGAACTGTGATTATGAGTGGGTCCACAAGTAGTAGACTCCACATGCACTTTTCACCTTGTTTCCCTCTTCCAATCTTGCACTCATAATAGTGGTTGATCCCCACCACTTGCATTGAAAACTTTCCTTTTGCATTGCTGTCCTTGTTCTATCTAGTTATCCATACTCCATTCCGTCTCTTAGTCTTTTCAGATGTGAGAGGAGGTTGAACTTGAGGGACGGTGTGAGAGCTTGATGCAACATCGTGTAGCCTATACTGTAATAGCTTAAGCTTTTGGGGCAAGTAGTTATCTAACCTTATTGATGACATGATATTTTACTAGGAAGGTATTGTGTTTGAAGTTTGAACCTTACTGTTGCATTATATGTACGTATTTGGGTTAATAATGAGTGAGGTGAGGTCTAACCACGTGCATGTTGTAAGAATATAGAGGGGATATATAGGCGATCAAGAAGACGGTGGCAATAAAAATTTAGCTATATGTCTGAGTTCAGAATCTTATTTTATTGGATTTTTTGCTTTTATTTCTCATTTTAGTTAATACCTTTTAAGTCAGAGATATTGGCAAATCAAGTTAAATAAATGTATCTAATGTTTGCGTCTTCAAAATACGATCATTTTTGTAATAAGAGTCGTCGCCAATAAATTAGAAGAGCTGTTTTCTTGTACCTTAGCCTTCTCATACACATTTTTGAGAGAATGCAGAAACCAAAGTGGAAATTTGTGACATGACGGTTTTGATGAAAAGGATAATTTTTTTTTACAATCAAATCCATAGGTCTAAACTGAACGTCTCCACCAATATTGGGTAAAGAACTTATATGCTAAAAAACCTGACAATGATTAAGCACAAGGCCGTAACCTATTTCTTCTTTGTCTGTAGGGAAGCCACTGAAATCCTTGCCAGATCTGCTTCAGGAATATAACTTGCCTCCGGGTCTTTTTCCACAGAACATAACATGCTACGAATTTGATGAGCCAAAGTCCAAGCTGACTGTATACTTGCCCTCTGCCTGCGAGGTTAGTTTCAAGGACTCATCCGTTATAAGGTACGCAACACGAGTAAAAGGCATTCTTTTGAGGGGAAAACTTACAAACATAGAAGGAATGAAGACCAAGGTCTTGGTATGGGTTAAGGTCACAAATGTGGCAGTTGAGGGCTCCAAATCGGATAAGGTGTGGTTCATGGCTGGTGTGAAGAAATCGAGACCTAAGGACGCTTACGACACACCTCGTGTTGGTATCCGAGTTCAAGAATTTTGAGTTTCAGATATTAGTTTGGAAAATGATCTACAAATAGAATTATTATACCGAATCTATCACAAGAATGATGTGGCAGTGACATTCTTGAAAATAGATTGGTTTTCGATTTTAAAATGAGAGGACTAATGCTGTGACATCATTCTGGATAAAGATTCTGTATGAATTTTCTGTTTGTATAGAACTATCTATTAGGCTATATGGTATTTCAATATCATCATTGTAGTTGGGTGGATGATCTTAATAGAACAGTGTTCTAGCTTGGTAGGCTATGATATTTCACTTTTGTTAAATTCTTGATGTCAGATGAATATGAATTGTTGTTGTGGTTCTGGCTGCTTTTAGTCTTGTTGCTTTTGGTATTTTTATTGTAGTTCTGAGGAGGGCGGTAAACAAAATGAATTTGAGTTGTTAACTAGAGCTTAGCTTGTTTAAATCGCATTTTGAGTTTGGCTTGTTTGTTAAACTAACAGGTTTGAGCTAAATATTTTGGTTTGTTTAGTAATTGAGTTGAGCTCTAAGTAGACAAAGCTTGACTCGAGTAAGCTCGTGAACACAAGGATATATAAATTAGTATTTTATTATTAATAATATATTAAATATATTTTCATCAATTTCTTTTGTTTTAGTGTTTATGAAATTTATTATTATTATGAGCATTTTTTATAATCTTCAAAATTTTCCAACTAAGTTTTGCATATTATTAATGCTCATATTATTAAATAATCTGCAAATTTTAGTTGTAAAAATCAAAAGAAAAAATGAATCTTACACAATGAATAAATTACATATAAAAATAATAAATATTTTTTAAATTTATATTTGAATGTGGAGATGTGGTTTGGAAATATCCTTTGGCCCATGCAGACTCCCTTGATTCTCGAGTTTGTACCCGAAACAGGAATGAACAATCCAATCGGGGGTGTCAGAATTAGCATTCCGACGGGTAAGTTAGTATTACCTCAAATTTTTCTTATATCTCAACTGCTTTTTTTTTCCACATACCTCATTTTTGGTTGATGCTCTTTTTTATATTACTCTCTTGGGGCCTACTTTCTTATTATGGATACCCCGCCCTCATAGTTGGGCGCTCAGTCGATTTATGGCCAATTCGGTCCGCAAGCTATGTTCTATTCAGCCACGCCCGACTTACTTCACTCGTCTTCTCGGCAATCTTATTCTGAGAGTAAAGCCATTATGAGTCAACTTATATACGGTTCCTATTTATATACGGTATCTCAAACTCGGTGACCACATTAAGTCTCCGTTTGAGAGGTGGGTTGGCTTTTTGGCTTTTTGGTTTTTTTGGCTATTTTAGCCTGAGGCTAAAAAGCCTGGTTTGGGAAGGGCTTTTTGGCTTTTTGACTTTTTGGTGAGGTGTCTTTATGGTAAATTACCAAACTGCCATTGACGTGTGTTTTACATGGCAACTCACCTTTGAATGGTCCTCCACGTCAGCGCGCCGTAATTGGACCGAAATTGTTTGAACATTTATTTTTTATTTTTTATTGAATGGTCCTCCAACGTTAGGCCTCAACCGTCTGATTTGTCGACCTGTTCGCGAGTCGTTTTCGCCGCCGCAGACGGTTACTCTGATGCCGATCACCTCTGCGAAGCTGCCTCAGATGTCGTTGCCGCTGGTTGCCAGAGATCACCTCCTTCGCTTCTTCTGTGTCCTAGGACAGTTGTGTTGTGTGTGTGGTGAGGCGTTGGACGAAATGAATCAGAGGGATATGTCAGGGTATTTTGGTAAATTTACCCGAAGAAGAGTTCCTCTCCAACCCGTTCAAGCGTTTTTGTCGTCATGTGACTAAATAAGCCTCTTTTGCCCACATGTGACTAATTTAGCCTGAACTTTCCTTCCCAAACACACGCTTACGCCTCCCTTCTTGGATTGTCTACTTAACCAAAGTGAGACAAAAATCACATAAAAATGGAATCATCACATTTTTCTTTTTTTCACAAAAAATACTAAAATCCTGAGTTGGGAGAGCAATAGACTCATTCAATTAGTATCAAGAATTAAAAAACTCATTTTCAATTGGTTGATAAAGGGTTCACTTGGTGTGGTAAAACTAAAAATTGGATTTACATCATGCTAAAACAATAAATGACACGTGTGCTGCATAGAATTTTCATTTATTAGACAAGTTGGGGGAAATAAACTAACGGTTGAGATTATGATCAATTTTCTCGCCATATAAAGGATGAGTCACATTTTTTACAGAATTTTTAGTTACCTTTATATTTTTATTCAAATTTAATTATTATTATTATTATTATTATTTTAAAGTATTGGAGATGATTGTGTCACGAAAACTGGTTAAAGCAAATTTTTAGAATTTTTCAAAAAAAAAAAAATTTAATGAAAAAGAAGAAGCACAGATTAAAGTGTTTCATATCAAATTAATCTTTTTAATTAAATTTTCACTCAAATTTAATTTTAAGAGAGAGAGAGAGGGACTCTCTTTGGTAGAGGTTTCTAGAGTTAATTCTACCGCTTGGTTTGAGGTAGGTGTTTGGTTACAGTTTTTAAAAATCAATTCAACACCCATTTTTGCAACCACTTCTACCCGGATGTCCCCCCCGGATGTTCGGCCGGGTGAAGGAACAGTGTTCGGTTTTTTTTTTTTACCTATTATTTTTATATTTTGAATAAAAAATATTTTCAGAATTTTTAAAATTTTTTTATGATCTTTTAACAGAATTTTGGATTGGTGTTTGGTTATGAGTTGTAAGTTTTTAAATCAAATATCATATGTCACATCATTCATTTCAAGCTTAATTCAAAACTCTTTTCAAAACTTATAACCAAATAAATTTTTCACACTCAAACCATAATTTCAAAAATTACAAACTCAAAATACAACTCTATTATCAAATCATAATTTTAAAACTCTATCAAACGCTATTGTACGAGCACATAAATAATCTTCTCGTATAATCCTGTTGATCAAGTTTGCGCTTCTCCAAACATCGTCGTTTTGCCACTTGAAAACACAAACGTGAGCCAGTCGACGTGTGTGTGCCGGAAACCTCTCCGATGCCTAAGTCAGCAAATAGACAATAGACACAAAAGCTGTGTATTCTAGAGTAAGAATTGGAATATTTGTCCATAGGTCTTGTCATGAGCTTTTATAGATTCTGTCTGGCACAATCTTAGTAGGATTCCAACTCTCCTTATAAGAGTCCTCCTAGGAATCACACTCCCAGTGAAGAGTGTCTATCCTGATAACACTCTACTCACTACCAACCAAGTGAGATGCTTTGCATAATCTTAGTAGGACTCTAACTCTTCTTAGCAGAGTTTTTCTAGGAGTCTCATGCCCAAGGATAATGCTTATCCTTAGAACACCCTCATCACTGCAAGCCAAGTGAGATGAGCACTCTCTTATGCTCGGATATACATTTCTGACTGAGCTACCTTATCTCGGTCCCCTGTCGTTCGAGCCGTGTGACTGAAAGTTGATTTACCGAATTGCACCTTGCCGAGCTACACATAGCTCGACCCTTTCCATTGATAACATCTCGGTCCGATAAAGGACTACCTTCAGATAGTTAGGTCCAACCCCTAGCAACCCATCTCTGACCGACCTAGTGTCTTCTTAGCCTAAGACCGAGCTACATCAGCTCTTATCTCGGCCCATTGCGCAGCCTAACTTCCAAAAAAGACTTTTCCTAGCGCGGCCCAATTTGTTCACAAATTACCCTCTCAATTGTCCCTTAATTCCATCTGTGTAGCATGTTTGGATTATTTTCCTTCAACCGAGCTAAGAACGCCCAACTCTGTCGAGCTATAAAAGTTATACGGTTTCAATAAGTATTATCAGTTGCTCAGCACATCCTTCCACCAATCTAGCATGTGGTGTGCCCCAATTAGCCCCGTTCTCCAGTTACAGCCGTCATGCAAAAAATTTGAATAATCCCGCCTTTTTGCCTTCAACGTATATATCTTTCGAGTTCGCAATCATACGGCGAGTCGTTTCTGTGTAACCAGGCTATATGTCCCACCTTTTGTAATCATCTTCTAATTAATGAAAAATTCTGATCTCTTGGCGCGGTTACTGTGTTTCTTTTTCAATGTTTTGCATCATTCTAACTGCATGTATAGCCAAACTAATTAGCTTGGCCTTACCTAATCCTACCAACCTTTTTTGGCCGAGAAACGCATCTCGGCTGAAGAATCCAAAAAACTTGTTGGTCAAACCTACCAACCTACTTTGGCCGAGGTAACTATCATTCCGGCCAAAGAGTACAAAAATTTTGTGTTGGTCAAACCTGCCGACCACCTTTAGCCTAGATTTTGATCTCGGCTGAAGGGTGCAAAAAAGTTTTGTTGGTCAAACCTGCCAATCGCCTTTGCCCCCCAGTTGGGCAAGAAAATTTTTTTTTGGTCAAACCCACTAACCGCCTTTAGCCTAGATCCTGATATCGGCTGAAGGGTGCAAAAAAGTTTTGTTAGTCAAACCTGCCAACCGCCTTTACACCCCAGTTAGGCAAGGAGTCTAAAAAAATTTGTTGGTCAAACCTGCCAACTGCCTTTAGTTTAGATCCTGATCTCGGCTGAAGGGTGCAAAAAAGTTTTGTTGGTCAAACCTGCCAACCGCCTTTGCCCCCTAGTTGGGCAAGAAGTCTAAAAATTTTTGTTCGTTAAACCTGCCAACCGCCTTTAGCCTAGATTCTGATCTCGGCTGAAGGTTGCAAAAAAGTTTTGTTGGTCAAACCTGCCAACTGCCTTTGCCCCTCAGTTGGGCAAGGAGTCTAAAATTTTTGTTGGTCAAACCTGCCAACTGTCTTTGCCCCCAGTTGGGCAAGGAGTTTAAATTTTTTTTTTTTTTTAGAAAGAGTTGGTCAAACCTACCAACCTCCTTTGCCCCCTATTGGGTACAGATTCGTTAGAAAGAGTTGGTCAAAGCTAATTCACTTTGCCCCCTATTGGGTAAAGATTTTTGCACGGTCGGTCCTTCTTGTCTACCGTTTTAACTTTTGCCGAAGGTGTTTTGTCCGACATCGCTGTTTGTATTGGACTCTGCCTTGGTGCTCATCCCATCTTCCTCTACCAAGATGTGTTGATGCACTCTCTCTATCAGGGGCTCCATAATAAGAGGCGACGTCATTGTCATTGTCATTGAATCTCTCAATTTATTGCCAATTGGCAGATCTTGTTTGTACTGTGCGATAACTAGGTTTGTGGAGCAATCTCCAATCTGATTAAAAGTCTCACAATACCGGTTATTGTAAGACTTCAATGTTTCATTCTTGCCCATGTCTATGGAGAAAAGCTGGTCAATCTCCACTGGCGTCTTGGTGTTTGTTATGAATCTGGTCACAAATGCCTCTGCTAGTTGCGCCCATGAAGCTATGCTACCTTCTCGCAACCTTTCAAATTATGTTAAACCCAGGTCGCCAAGGCTAGAAAGAAACATGATACACATTAAAGCCTTGTGTCGCCGATACAGGGCCACAACCTGGCGAAAGTGACTCAAGTACATGTAGGGGTCTGACTTCCCTTCATAAATAGTGAATTTGGGCTGGTAGAAACCTGAGGGTAATGGTGCGTTCTCTATCGCTGAAACGAACGGCGAGTCTTACAACCTTGTTAACGCTTTGTCTGTCAGTTCGTAGGCAAGGCGTGGTACCGACATTCCAACCTCGACACTCCCATGTGTCCTAGGAGCCAACCGTTGTAGCGCAGAGACTCTGTGGGGGTCACGAGCCTGAGTGTCTTCTCTCCTTCGAGCCCTTTTCTCTAGCACTGTATGCAAGTCTACCAACCTAGGCAACTCCATGTGCCTAGATGTTGTTTGGTGCGAGTGCGGGGGCCAATAACTATTTCCCTCCGTACATGACCTTTCAGTTCTCATTCTCTCAGGCCTGGAGTAATGAGTCCTAGAGGTTCTTGACTGCGTGTCGCCTGTCTTGAGGCTTCTGCTTTTCGTATGAGAAAGTGTGACTTGCTTGTCACGATCTTCTAAGCGGCGAGAGTGCGCTCTGCCTTTGCCCACCTCTTCTTCTGCCACCCCTTTGCCGTTTATCTAGCTCTTCATAGTCTCCATGTTAGCTGCCATTATTCTTGTTACTTCGTCTTGCTCCCTTACGCGATCTTCCAAAACTTGGGGATCCATCCTCCACTTCTGTCTATCAGGGCTTTGAGACCGACGTAGACTCGAGCCTCGTCTTTCTCGTACGTCTCTCTGTGGTTTCCGTTGCTGGGGATCCAATTCTGCCATGGGCAAAACATAAGGCAAGCCCTCGCGCCTCCCTCCTCCTTCCAGGGTCTGCCCATCGATAGCAGAATGTGGCAAGTCTTCGTTATGTGCCATTGACATTGATTGAAGGAACACTCAATCAAAAGGTTTGTTCTCTGTTGTATTCCTACAGATGGCGCCAATTGTACGAGCACAGAAATAATCTTCTCGTATAATCCTGTTGATCAAGTTTGCACTCCTCTAAACGTCGTCGCTTTGCCACCTGAAAACACAAGCGTGAGCTAGCCGGCGGGGGTGTGCCGAAAACCTCTCCGATGCCTAGGTCAGTAAATAGACAATAGACACAAAAGCTCTGTGTATTCCAGAGTAAGAATTGGGATACCTGTCCATAGGTCCTGTCATAAGTTTTTATAGATTCTGCTTGGCACAATCCTAATAGGATTCCAACTCTCCTTATAAGAGTCCTCCTAGGAATCACACTCCCAGTGAAGAGTGTCTATCCTGATAACATTCTACTCACCACCAACCAAGTGAGATGGTTTGCACAATCCTAATAGGACTCTAACTCTCCTTAGCAGAGTTCTTCTAGGAGTCTCATGCCCAAGGATAATACTTATCCTTATAACACCCTCATCACTGCAAGCCAAGTGAGATGAGCACTCTCTTATGCTCGGATATACATTCCTGACTGAGGTACTTTATCTCGTTCCCCTACCGTTCGAGCCGTGTGACCGGAAGTTGATTTACAGAATTGCACCTGTAGCAACTCTTATCTCGGCCAGAGATGAGTTGCTACATCAGCTCTTATCTCGGCCCATTGCGCAGCCTAACTTCCAAAGAAGACTTTTCCTAACTCGGCCCATTTGTTCACAAATTAACCTCTCAACTACCTAAGATTTTGGAAACAAGCTTATAAATCACTTTATTGACTTATTTAATTGTATAGCTTATAAATCAGTTTATTAACTTATTTAATTATAACATTTTATTATTTTTTTATACATTTTTTTCATAAAAAATCAGTTTATAAGTCCCCTCTCCCAACAGGCCGAATGGAAGATGCTTTCATTACGTGAAAAATGTATTTTTCTTAGAATTTAACATTTTTTGATAAGTCCTATTTATAACTGTTTTGTTCCATAAAACCCAAACTGTTTCTGAATATTCCATTAGGTCCATTAATTGTTAAAGGACAAAATAACCCTCTCCGCCTCTCCCGCGTGAAACCGATTCTGCAAAAACCCATTCTTATTCAAAACAATCCACAAAATTTCCAAAACAAAAACTCAATCGACGAAACGATACTGATATTGCCTCCAGTAACCCTAGATTCCTCTTCGTCTCACCACTGCGAAGCTTCACATCGGAAGGAGGGTGCTTCGTCGTTCGAAGATTCTTGTCGCCCCATTGAGTTTATTTTATCCACTGAGTGTAATCCATACCCACCAACCATGACGAACAAAAGTAAGGAATACCATTCCTCCTTCTGTTTCTCAATCATAATGTCATCAAACATAGATGTTTTCGGAATTAATTTTGTAAAAATATATGTAAACACTCACATTGGCCTCTAACTGTTGTAGTTTTCGGGATTTGTTTTTGCACACATGAATGATGTGAACATTCACATTATTATTGAGTACTGGGTAAACTTAGAGTAGTACACACTGATGTGAACATTCACATCATGTGAATGTTCACATTAATGTCAGAAACCCCAAACTGCACTCACATAATACGAATGTACTCCCCTCCACATAACCACGTAAAATGCATATAATTGAAAAAACAGAGCATTCAATCCATATAAATCCAAAAACAGAGCATCTGATCCATTATACGAATGAAACCATAAACTGAACATGAATTCATAACCAAATTGATACTAACCTTGATCATGCAATCCTACAATCGTACAGAAAGTTGAAAAAAACTGATTTGAAGTAGTTATAATTCGGCAAATGTAACAACCGAACACCCTCCTCTTCATCGTCTTCACTCGCAAACCACAGAACCAGACTCCAACAGCAAGGATGAAACCCTGGCACAACCAATCATTGCAACGAGCATGCAAAACATAAACGTAACTCTCGGAATTGGATTGATGATGAAAAGCGTAAAATAGAAACTGCCAAACTGCATGAACGAAGAAACAGGCACCTATTACGTATTAACACTGTACATATATATATACAGGGGCAAAATAGTCCAAAAAATTATATTAAATTAGAAAAATGGACTTTATGGAATATCCAGAAAAGTTTATGGGACTAATTAGGTTATAATATACTTTAGTGGACCTAATGGGTTATAACAACTCTAGAATGGATTTATCAATAAAAATCTCATTTTTTATTAACGTCTACAATTTGGGAGTGAGATGAATTTTGAAAACGACATCGTTGCAAGAGCGAGAGTTCATCATCAAACCAAAGCTTCAGTCTTGCTGCTGAACACCTGAACGAAATCCCCTGGAACAAACCCTAACGCAGTGTAGAAGAGTATAGCAAGTGAGAGAGGTTGCCATTCCTACTTTCATTACGTGAAAAATGTATTTTTCTTAGAATTTAATTTTTTATTAACGTCTACAATTTGGGAGTGAGATGAATTTTGAAAACGACATCGTTGCAAGGGCGAGAGTTCATCATCAAACCAAAGCTTCAGTCTTGCTGCTGAACACCTGAACGAAATCCCCTGGAACAAACCCTAACGCAGTGTAGAAGAGTATAGCAAGTGAGAGAGTGAGAGAGAGAGAGAGAACGAAAATGGCGATTTCTGGAGATCTGAGGGTCTCTGCAACATTGGGATCTTATCCTACACAGCCCCTTCGAAGCTCTTTGCCTCCTTCAAAGGTCTAAAACTCTCTTCCCCATATTTGTTTAAATATATACTTCACTTTGTTTGTTCTTACTCGCTTAATTTATGTCAATTTAACACATGAATTTGACTTAATGGGTTTCGGGCTTTGTGACAAAGCTTGAGTTTCTAATATTGCATTTCTGTTTTTGATGTTTCCATTTTTTCACACTCAATTTTGCATAATTCTGGTTTTTGAACCTCTTGTCGGTTCGTGAACGGGTCTGCGCATATCGCAATCGAAGGAAAAAGGCAACATTTGGTTGGTAGTAGATCAGTTTTTCTTTTAATCATATCTTTGAACTGCTGATTTAGGGATAATGGACTTTACTTTGTAGTCATTTTGTGTGCTTGATGAAGCCTTCCATTGCTGAGTATTAGAATGCCAATTGGGTTTTTGAGTGACATTCGAAGGATAAGCGTAACTACACTGATTGGTATTAATGTTACATCACAAAATAAACCCACTTCTCTAGAGTTCAATACGAGTCAGAGGTTTTCAAGACACCCTTTGAGTACAAATACGGCTATGTGAAATAGAAACATGTTGAACGTTAGCTAGAATAGGCTAGCAATGTTTATTATTGTAGTAAAATGTACAATATTTGTTGTCCGTTTGGGAAATTAGGACTTTGGAAGGAAAAGAAAGCAAAAGAAGTGAAACAACGATGGTATCATTTCCTTTTGCTTGGGTAACTAAGGAGAGGAGAGAAAAGAAAAGAAAGTAGTGTTTATCCTTCCCTCTTGTTTGGAAGAGATAGAGGAGAGAAAAGCAAAGAAAATGAAGTTTTGTTGTGTGAGTAGCAGGGGCAGAAAAGAAAATCTCTTGTCATAAAAACAAGGGATTATGTTTTGTAATTACAACCCTTTCTCTTTCTCTTCACTTTTGGAGAGATTTTAAAAGTGTGTAACAAGGGATTATGTTTTTCCTCTGTCTCTTCCTATTTCTCTCCTCTTACGCTACCCAAATATGTGATTAGGGAATCTCTTTTCTTTTCTTTTCTCTCCAAATCATCCAATCAAATTAGACTTTTTTGTTCTGAACGATTTGCAATTATTTATCCTAAAACTAGATACATTGCCGAAATGATATTTTATTGTTAGAAGTAGTAATAGTAGCAACATCTAAACAAACACTCTACCTATTTTAATGAATGCTACTCTGGAAAGACGAACGACGATGCATACATTCTTGTATAGTTTGTCAGTGAAGACACTCTTCATTTTCTTTTCCTCCAAGATTTTAATATTTCGGTTGGTAGAATCAAGTGAAAATTGGCACTTGGGTCTCCTTGTACCCCTTTGTAATTACCCAAACATACCAGTCAATTGGTACTTGACTTTGGAACTGATAGCCCTGGAATTTTAATTTAAGAATCAAAGGGAAGGAATGAGAACTCTGTGGTTCCACTGGTTCTAGCAATCGATGCTGGTTATAAAATCTGGGTGGTTCAAATGTAGCGTGATTCTTCTCTTGTGCATGTGTTACAAAAAGTTTTTTAAATTATTTTTTTCACATTTAAATAGTAAGAGATATGTGTCTATGAGCTAAGGTCTCTCATGGAAATTCTTAGTACTGGTGTAATTTTCAGAACTCCAAGAAAACATCAAGAAATGATAATTCAAATAATTCTCTTTTGCATAGATTGAATGCATTTCCTTTGTTAGGAATCACAAACAGATTTATTAATATCCTCTGTGGAAACAAAATATAGAGATTTAAAGTTCCATTTGATGGTCACATTTGCACTACATTCCATGTAATTCTTAAGAAAAGATTTTGTGCTTCGTTACAGGTAGATTTTTCTGGTTTTCTTGGTGGAGCATCCTGTGTCTCTGATATCACACCCAAATGGTCCCGTGTGGTAATTGATAACCATAGCATGTGCTGTCATTCTAAACGACCTTTTGGTATCACTAGCGAATATAAGCTGTCCCCCAATTCCTTTAGCCAAGAAACAGAGAGTTTTATTCATAATGTCATAAACATGAGCTTCTTTGAACGTCTGACTTTAGCTTGGCAGATAATGTTCCCGACACCAACGTCTAGAAGGAACTCTAATGCAAATATTGCCAAGCAACGCTTGAAGATGATCCTCTTCTCTGACCGGTGTGTAGTTAGCGATGAAGCAAAACAGAAGATAGTGAGCAATGTTGTGAATGCTCTATCAGATTTCGTAGAGATAGAATCAGAAGATAAAGTTCAGCTAAGTGTCTCTACGGATCCAGACCTTGGGACTATTTACTCTGTCACGGTGCCCGTCCGGCGGGTGAAACCAGAATATCAAGATGAAGATGAGGTTGGAACAATAACGAATATTGAGTACAAAGATACTGGTGAAAGGTCTGGTTCGGTTGATGTCAGGTTCGATTTCTATGTTCCGAATGAAAATTGAATGGTTTGGGGGTGTGAAATATGGTGATGCCTGATCCTCAGCGAGAAGGGAGGGGAAAAAAAGAGAATAATATGTATTTGTAACAGATCGATATTCAGGTTTTTAGCCATTTGAATGGACTTTTAGGTTTGTATATATTTTTTCTGTTCATGAACTTGCTAGAAGTGAAATTTTCACTTGAAATGATGATTCTGGTGAGATTACATTATGCATGTATATGACATGTATTGAGGATTGGTTTTAATCACTACTACAAAATGGATTCATACATACGTGCATACTAATGGCTTTTGAGTTAGTTTTCAGAACTTACCATATGATTTTCTATTTTTTAGGTGGAAATAATTTTGAAAATTTAAAAATATCTTTCCATGTGTTCATTTTTGCCAAACTAGTTTCTAGTTTTCTATTTTTTTTAGGCAGAAATAATTTTAAAAATTTTAAAATATCTTTTCATGTGTTCATTTTTACCAAACTAATTTATACTTTTTTTAAAAAAAAAAAAATAAAAAAAAGTTCTGAAAACTAACTCAACCAAACATTAGTATGCACGTATGTATGAATCTATTTTGTAGTAGTGATTAAAACAAATCCTCAATATGTTTATGGGCTACTTATATGGCTAACATTGGTTCATTTATCTTCCACCAATCTAGAGTCTTTAAAGGGTAATGGTTTATGAAATTTATGTATGAAAATGATGTGATGTTTTGTTGGGTTTTCATTCATAATAAAAATATCTATTATTATCTTTACATTTTTTTTTATAAGTGTTACTATAACATCATTTAGTTATAAATTTTGTATAAAAATTCTTTTCATCTTATATTCTTCTTCACTATCATAACCTAAAGGTTGATCTTTCATTAGATGTTTCATCTTTGGGCGGTGATATATTTAGTTAACACTGGCCTAATTTGTTTGCTCTTGGGCCTGATATATCATTAATTATGTGGCTAGTGTGTGTTTTACTGGCTTAGCTTAGCTTAGCTTGGGACTTATCTAAATTTACATAAACCTGCATACGTTGCATAGCTCTCTAACATTGCACCGCCTCGGTTTCTTCTCTCTTCTCTCTGTGGTGAAGAAGGCATGTCGCCGATGTTGGAGAAGGACTTTGCGAGTCGAAGGCCGATGCACAACAAGCTGGTATACCGTCCGCAAAAATTGTTACGTTCTCATCCAAAACTGGCCTTGCAAGGTTCCTCAATTTCCTCTCTCTCTAAACTCAATTATACTTTTTTTTTTATGATTTGGAGAGCGCATTAAAGCATTCACTATCAGCTTTCAACAACTTAACTTTTTCACTTAATATGATAACAAACAAATCATGAAAATACAAATACTGTTCCATTCCATCGATTTCAACAAACTAAATTTATAATTGTTTATGATATTTTTTTTTGGATGACAATCATTGAAAGTTTCTATTTTCGCATGCCAAATCTTCTTTTTATCTCAAGACACACATATAAAGTTTCAAACTTAGTACATATTTATTCAGGTCAATAATACCCTTAACTTCTTCACCCTTTTGAATACACACTCAATTGATAATCTTGTAGAAATTAAATAGCAATTGATAATCAATTAAGTGTGTATCAATTGACCCGAATAAACTATTGAACGAGTATGTACTGAGGTTATCAAAGTGTGTATCAATTGGCTACTGAATATCCCTACTACCAAATCATTGTTGTAGAAATTTTTATTTGCAAATTATTTTCCTTATGCTAAATATTTATTTACCTTTGATATATAGGTTTTGGAGGTCTCAACTTCCAAAACTGGGAAGCATGGTCATGCCTAATGTCACCTTGTTGGAATTGACATCTTCAATGCAAAAAAGCTTGATGTTATTGAAACATCTTCCCACAACTGTTATGTATACGTGCTTTCGTTCTTCTTTGTAAGCTTCATATTTATGTTATTTATTTTTTTGCTTAATTTCTCATAGAGTTCTCGAAATATGTATTTTATTAACTTTAATCTCAAATTTTTTTTTTTATATATATAATTTTATTGATTTCATCCCCAAATGTGAGTCTCGATAGTTCTTAGCCCTCATGCCATTTAAATTGATCAACGAGAACTGAAATATTTTCAAAATTTTATATGAAGGCTCGACAAACAAAATTGAAAGAACCAAATACATACATGATGATGGTTTTCAAAGTATGCACTTTGTAACATTTTGGTCCCTAATTTTTTGATCTTGTTGTTGGAACAATCTTCTGTGTAAAATAAATAATTTGAAACTAATCAAACTTATCCAACCGAATAAAACTTTAAAAGATCAAGCCGAGTGTGTAACACTCTATCCGTAAGACAGATTCGCCCCGCTATGGTGCTTACGAATAAAATACGTCTATCTTCCAAGATACAATAATCTTCACAAATTGTAGTAGCACTCCAAACAATTTGTACGATGAACAAAACCTGTGTTCTATACTCTCTAAATTTTTCCTAAAATTATATGAAGAATATATATGCAACAAAGCAAAATCTGAATAATAAGAAAATGAATTTTTCAGACTATTTCTGGATCCAAAAGACTGCTGGAAATGGTTGGAATTTATAGGAAAACAGTGGCTGTCCGAACCGGTGTTATTTGAATTAAACAGATCTTATTTCAAATTGAACAAGTACAGAACCAGTTTGCAACAGATCTGTTAACTGCAGCAATTATAAAACTGTCCAAAATTGCTGGGCAATTTTTTCGATCTATTAGAATATTTTGAACCTGTTGAACCTCAGTTTGAATCTGTTCAAATCTGCTTGGGCAGATTTAAATCTGTTTGGAAATAACAAAATCTGTCTGGTAGTTTCGAGCAGTTTATCTGTTGGAATTTCGGACTGGAAGAGGCACAATTATGTACAGAAATTCAAATTTGGTGCAAATTTGAATTAATTTCCCGTAAGACTTTTTTTAAAAAAATCAAATAAATTTTGTTCAAAAAATTAACATTAGAATTGACCCGACCCATAACCCATGGCCGAGCACAACCCACACCCGGCCTAGCACGGCCGGATAGGCGACGGCGTGTGCGTATGGTGGTTTGAGCCAAAGTTCACCTCCCTTATACAAACTTGAGGTACCCCTTGGGGCCCAACCCAAGTGTTACCACCTAGAACTTATATACACACGTAAGTTCTCTTAAGTTTTCAATGTGGGATAACCATTTTAAGGAAACCCACATTTTACTTCTTTAATTTCCTATTTCACAAACTCAAAAACGACGTCAACTTCCCATTCACTTACAAATGGTTTTGACGAACCGTCTTCACCGTGTGACTTGCCATGCGGCAAAGAACACGTCACCTCTTTGGACCCACCCCAAAAGGCCTTTGGGACCCACTCAAATTTGGGTTCAAAGTTTGTCTAAAATAAGCCTATAAAAAACCAAAATTTCCAACACTTGTTATATGTATATATGTTTTGTAAATTTCCAAAAACATCCTAGCTCTAGTTAATCAAATTGAGAGCTGAAGACCATCTAAAATCACATTTTGTAATTTGGAGATCAAATTGACAAAATTAAAGATGGGTGAAGTACAACAAAAAAACTTATTTATTTATTTTAAGTTAACTTTCAGACCATGAAGATGTGTCTTCTTGAATTTCAAATTCCTCATGTCATTCGTACTGATTACCAGTTGATTGATAAATCCGAGCAGCTTTGTATGTACATGAATGACTTTCTTGTTTGATTGTGTTGTGTTACTTTTGATGAACATTCCATTTATTCATTAATATATTCTTCCAATATGTTTTAGGTGAGCTTGTTGACTGAGAAAGGTAATACTAAAGATGATCTAAGGCTTCCAAATGACGGAAATCTTCTTGCTCAGGTTAGTTGATTTCATTTTCCTCTTCATCGTTGTGGATACCTTTTACTTTCATCTTCGAGTATTGTTGAAGACTCTTAAATTTACTTACAGTGATACGACAGAGAATTAATTCTTACCAGATTGATTTTTAAACAAATCAACAATTAACATGTAACAGTCCATACTATTAGGAGTAAAGTTAGGACTGCTGTTTTTTGGGGTCCAAGGCATATTTCATTTCTTTTCAATAACTTGCATGTTTCATTTGATTATATATGTTTCTAAATTTGTGCCAAAACCCTCTTTTGCCTTGCGCAATTTTAAGAATTTATAAAAGAAATAGTATTTTATTTTTCCCTTCCGAACTTCACAAAATCTCAATAGCCCCATGTAATTTTGAGTATTTTATAGAAGAAATTATCATTCTAACCCCTAAACATCTATGTGAATTTGTTTTACTCCTTCAAAATCTAAGTAATTTTATCTCTGTCACCTTTTGTTTAGTGAGAAGAATAAATTATGTGGGGAGGAAAATTTGTTTAATATCTCATAATTGACTGATTATTTTGAAGTTCAAAACGGTACTATGAAAATGAAAGGGTTTGTTAGAGGTTTGGTTGGTTGGTTGGTTGACTACATGTAAATGCACAAAAGTAGGTTTCCCCAAAGTACAGTTTTTTTAGTTGCCATGTTTTTAGATTAGAATTTTTGGGACCTGCATTCTTGACTTGTGAGATACTACAATTGACATCCAAATTTTGTTATTTATCATGAATTCAATTTACTTGTATAATGTGGTCAGTAGTTGGTTGTGAAGTGGTTGATTGAAGCTAGACTTGAGAATTAATTTTTCCCCAAATTCCCCTTCTCTCCTTCCATCTTTTTGCAAACAAGCACATTGTTAGACCTTCTTAAGGTTGCGTACATATGGCCTTTTCTAGACCCATTGGTGGCACTAACAAAAATCTCGTGTACTGAGTTGTTGATTTTACCCTTTTGCAAACAGTCACATTGTTGAACTTCCTCAAAGTTATGAAATATTGCTTATGCTATCTTAGAATTTGAAGCTCAAAACAGATAAATGAAATAGAATCTAATTTCAAAAAAAAAACCCCTTTCGGTTTCCTCCCCTCCACAAATCCATTTTCGAATTCAAAATCCTAACACAACCTTACAGTTATGATGCGAAACATTAAAAATTAGAAAGCTGAAAACTTATAGATGGATCTAGAGATGCTTATAAATTTTATGCTTAGACTGTCTTTTGAAAATTTTACTTTTTGATTTTGATATTATAACCTCCATTTATGCATTACTTCTCATCTTTCAGTAACATTGGCACAAGAACTTGGTTGCATATGCTTCATCGAATTTGTT